GTTTATGGGTAAAAAAATTAAATAATCACGTGAGATGAAGAACTGAAGATTCTTACCAACCAAATGATTGGAGTGAATAATTAAAATGTGTTTCAGGTAAAGCTGGTTTGGTTAAATCATGAAAAAATATGGACGTTTTGTATTTTATAGCTTTAGAAAAGCATTTTCTGTTCTCCTGTTGGCAGCTTTACCATGAGGTTTATTTATTTATTTTTGCTTTAACTCGTTATCACTGAAACATAAATGAAAGAGAAATGTGCATGTTTAGAATTATTTTAGTACTTTTTCAACTTCACGTTGACTTTATATTTGTGATTTAGTAAAAAAAAAAAAAAACATATATGTCTTTCTTTAGCAAAACAGCCAAGGATACTTTATTTTAATACTTATTTTAACTTTTTTAATTGTGAACAACTAAGTCAGCTCATAATCTGTCTTAAGGTACTTGACTGTTATTTTTTTAACCAAAGGAGGTAAATCATTTCATCAATAAACATTAAACCATTTCACCTAAACTCTTTGATTGAATATACATTTTATATATATTAAAAAGTCTGCTTTTGTGAACTCAAAGTTTAAAAATTCCTAGATTTATAAGTACTTTCTGATTAATTATTTGAAAATTAATGTAGATATCTGGTACAAACCAGTTACATAACCAGTATTTACCCTGCAAGTATCAGGTACACACAGTGTGTACCAGGCTGTATTATCTGTTTAAAAAATAATAATAATAATTTAATTTGCTACGTGTTTTTGTTGTGATTTTCAAGAACTCTTTAAATGAAAACTATCGCAAAGATACAGCAGAAAAGGGTTGTTTTGGTTTACTCTGAAAAGATCACTGAGTTAATTTCAACAAAGGGCAAGAATTCAACGGAAAACCTGTCCTGAAATAAACCTAACAGATTTATAAGACTGAAATACGCAGGATGAGCAGAGGACGGGACATTTTAAAACTGCAATGTGAAGGAGAAAGATGGTTTTACTGAGGGTGTGGAGAAAAATGACAACGGGCAAAACAGAAAAACATAATTTAGATTGTAGCTATTATAATGTTAAAAATGAGCGTGGATATGTTTGTTACACAGAACTGTGACTGGTGTTTTAGTGTTTTATACTATGGAAAAGCAAATGCATCAAATCTGTGCCAATAAGCAGGCAAGCTATGAGTGAAAAGCTAAAAAAAAAGTTTTTTGTTGCTTTCTAGTAGCTAAAATGTTCACATTTCCACAGTGACAGAGTTATTTTGCTGCAAAATGAACAAATAAATAAATGCATCTAAAATCATTTATTTGTGGCGGCACGGTGGTGCAGTTGGTAGAGCTGTTGCCTCTCAGCAAGAAAGTCAGGAGATTGAATCCCGACAGGAGACCTTTCTGGGTGGAGTTTGCATGTTCTCTCCGTGCATGTATGTGTTTTCTCCTGTCCTCTGGTTTCCTCCCACAGGCCAAAAACATCCATGCTAGGCTGATTGGTAAATCTAAATTGTTCCTAGAGTGAACGGTTGTTTGTCTTGTTTGTCTCTATGTGTCTCTTTGATGAACTGGAGACCTGTCCAGGCCCTCACCTCTCGCACAGTGATGGATATGGGCACCAGTGACCCCCGTGACCCGAAAAGGAAGAAGCGGGTAAAGATAATGGATGGATCGTTCGTTTTCCTGATGAAACCAGCAGAGGCCGGTAGAATCATTTCTCACCTATACGAGTACAAAACGAGTCGGACCATAAATAATTAAAGTCGTGTACAACTAACATTGTGCTCGTTGTGTCTCAACAGTCTGAACATAATAAACATTCTTAGATCTGTTTGTTTTGTGTCAAATTCAAAAAGTAGCACTTCTTCTACAAGTCTACACGTGCAAGAAATAAAAGGCAAAGAGGCCACAACCGCAAATAAAAGTGGTAATTAAACAAATGCAGTAAAACTTTAAGATAAACATTAAAACGTTTAAAGACCCTCAGTTTCAGTTTGACTAAAATCACAGAACCTTCACTGTGAATTTATTTAAACGTGAGTTTGTAGAATCTTTATTGTGTGCAGCTTTATTGCCTCCGTGACATGCAGTTTTGTAACCACACATTTACGTGTAAATCAGATACGAGTTGATAAAACCGTTGTAAGATGTGACGCTTTTATCAGGAGATGAGACTTCATTTAGTGAGGCAGCAAGCATTTACAGACCAAAGCTGTAACAACGTATTACTTTAACTCAAACACAATCTGTTATATATTTTGTATCTGCTGTGTACTCGTACATCTCTTTCAGCATTTTAGGCTTTCATGCACACATTTTGATTAGAGTGATTTTCCTCAACTTATCTTACATTAAACAGTAATTTGGATAGGCTCAATATTTTATCAGAATAGCAGCTAATAAAGTAAAAAAAAAAAACATTAAGAAATGTTTGAAAACTTTAACTTTGACTGGAAATGTTACTATATTAAAAAGTATTCTTGTAAAGTATATATAAAGTGAGTGTGTCATAAAGTTAAAAAGGGGGAAAAAGTTCTGGTCTTTTTTCAAATTTGATTTTTAATATTACTTCTAAACACATATAACAATGACCACAGGTGGAATTAACATTTAAACACTAGTGGTCAAACACTGCTATGAGTTTATCTTCAGGATTAGTTTGATATTTTAGTATATGAAGTAATCCAACATTTTTCAATCAGGTCATCTGGACAGTTTCTTTTTTTTTTTGTGCTGAAAAGTTTTGCCTTCGATCCAGAAGGCTTCATCAGTCAAGGAAACACAACAAAACTGATTCTTCCCCCAACAGCTTACTCCAAAGTGGAACTGGTGAGAAGATGGTCTCTTTGGTACGCCCCTCCTCCATTGCTGGCAATCTTCCTTGTTGACAGTGGTGTCAAACTGGTTGAAAACAACAAAGTCCATGCTCAATAATCCATGTATACAATCAACCAGTTTGACACGACTGTCAACAAGGAAGGGTGCCGGCAATGGAGGAGGGGGCGTACCTAAGAGACCATCTTATCACAAACAAAACTGGTTTGTTCCACTTTGGAGTAAGCTGTTGGGGGAAGAATCAGTTCTGTTGTGTGTTTCCTTGACTGATGAAGCCTTCTGGATTGAAGGCGAAATGTTTCAGCACAAAAAAAAAACTGTCCAGATGACCTGACTGAAAAATGTTGGATTGTATACATGGATTATTGAGCATGAACTTTGTGATATGAAGTAATGTTTTGTATAAAATGAAGACAGCCATGGTTGTTGATGACGTGTTTTAATTATTGTAAAATAGAACGCCGCATATTGCATAAATTTTCAATAGTTTTTAAAGATGTTTAGAGAGCAAACGTCAAGAAGTTTTTATTAATTTTTTTTGTTGCTTATTGAATTCTAAGAAGAAGGCACGGTTTTATGCATGACATGAATACAAAGATTGACTGATCAGTTTTGGTTTAATCTTTCACCATCAGATGTCTTTAAGTAAAGATAATGGATAAAACCTAAATAAAGCTAACTCTTTGAAGCTCATCTTTCCAACCACAGATGGAAACAGATAAACAGTTAAATGTGGTAAAATACTTATCATCTTCATGAGATGTTTGTGCATAAATGTGATAAAAAATAAGTCTTTAAATCCAATAGTATCTTTGGTTAGGAACTAAATATAAAATAAATAAATGAAGAGATTTCTGAGTAGATTAACATCAAATATCTTTAGAGCATCTGTGAATGTGACTTTAAAGAAGGAACTACTTTCCCTGGTGGAGGAAGAAAATGTTCTAAGTTAAATTACTCGACATGTACAGAAAAGTGTGATTCACTTAAAAAGCTCTAGTGTCAAAAACTGATGAGGTGAGAAAATGAATGCTTGCGTGCTTAAGAAAGGAGGATGCCAACATAACCGAATGATCAACATTATATGTAAATACATAAAATACAGTTACAAAATAGTGTCAGTGTAAAGTTGACCAAAAAAAAATTATGTTTATTTTTTGCAGTATTTGTTTAATTCCATCATATTTAGATTAGATAGAAAATTCTTCACGTCTGTTAACAGTTCAACTGAAAGCAGCTAATATATACCAAATAAATAATCCTTTTAAAGAAATGCCAATCCATAGAATTGTCTCTCAAATGTGATTAACGGTAGATGTTTAAAAAAAATCAACAAAGAAAAAGTGCACACAAACTGGATGTAGGAGTAATAAATGAAGACTGGCAATGAAAAGCTTTTCTCGTTGTAATATCAAATGTTTTAAAATAAACTGTACCATGAATCATATACACAATACAACATGTGTGCTCACACATCAATGCAGACAAAAATATTCTGATTTTTTTTCTTTATTACTGTAAACTGTAAGATTTAACTTTCATTATATCCATAAACATTTGAAATTAAACTGAGAACGCTGTAACAGCCTCCGTGCACAGTTATATTCAGTCCTGGTCCTCGAGAACCAATGCATGTTTTAGATGATTTCCTGCTCCAACATTTGACTTCATGGTTGAATTACCTCTTCAGACGTTCTCTGGTTTTACAGAAACCTGTTCATCACTCATTCATTCAAATCAGGTGTGCTGAGGCATAGAAACATCTAAAACGTGCAGGATGGTGGCCCTCAAAGATCAGGGATGGACAACACAAGCATCAAAGCACAATCAAAAAGCCATATATTTATGCATAGTATATATATATATATATATATATATATGCACATGTCTCTCTTGTAAACAAGTCCTCTAGACCCAATGAGACTAACCTGTATAAATAAAGGTTGAATGAATATATTAAAACACTGACAATTTCAGGATTTAAATAACTTTTCTAATGAATATATGTAGATGCATTGATTACCCGATCAAATAATTTTTCAGCTGTGTTTTTAGGAGGTAGACATGCTTTAATATGGAAATAGGATTCAACCCACTGATGCATTTAGTAGTAAATGTCTGTTTCTCTTGTTAGAACATAAACCTGGTCACAATGCTAATATAATAAAGATCAGCAGGGGGTTTTCATCAAAGTTCCATTAAAGGTTTCCTCGGTTCTGCCTCCTCCTCTTTCCCTGGTACATGGAAGTCCACATATGGACACCACTTGGTGTTGAGACACACCAGTTTCTTCAGGGTTGACGTTTTGACGATGCTGAAGCCCGTCTCACCTCCAAAGGTGCTGGGCTTCCAGTACTCAGGGGAGTTGATGGGGTTTCCAAACAGGCCTTTCAGGGAGAACGGAGCACCCATCTCCACCATGCTCTCACCAAAAATGGAATTAGGGCGAGTTTTCTCCAGCATGAGACCAGGATAAAACTCCAGAGCATCTATGTCTCCATAGAGTTCCTCCAAACCATGAGCCATCTCTGTGTCATCTGTTGACAAATAGAAAATCAGAAAATAATTATATCGTCTACAATGGAGTTTTGACCCTTTTGAGAAAGATCTTTGACCACTATAGACATTTAGCTTGATGAAAAATCATGGATAAAAATATATTATTTTCTATCAGTTTATTTTGCTTTGTCTTAGAACCCAGTTATTATCACAAAATACTTTTATGTGCACAGTTTGGATCTCTAAGTTACAATATGGGAATCCATGGTGCACTTTTACGCAGATGATACTCAACTATATCTACCTAAAAATCTAAAGAACCCAGCAACACTGAAAATGTTGCAGGATGTCATTCAGACATAAAATTTTGTCCGAAACAATTTAAAGACACGTCAAAGATCACTTTGTTTGGTCCACTAAAAATGTTTTTTTTTTTGTTTGTTTGTTTCAGCGTGACGCATACATTAATAAATGTTTAATTAGTATTTGATGTTGACTTTAAATTTGATGCTCAAATTATCCCCCTCTTTTAAAAACAATCAAAGAAATCTAATAAGTTTTATAAGTTTTAAATAATAAGTTCTTTGTTGTCCACTGTTGTCATCACTCTTTGTTAAACTCATTTCTCTCTTATAAATGAGTCCCCGAGGCTCAATGGGATTAATCTGTGTAAATGAAGGTTGAATTGAATACTCCAACATGCAGCCACCCTGAGCGGCGTAGTTCTAGTGTGGACATTTGGTGTTAGTTGGGTCTCGCTCCATCAGCTCTAGATGGTTCAAAACACCCCAATCAAATTCATTACCAGTTCTACAGTGAGACACACAAACACACACACACACACACACAAATATTTAGAAAGTAATTCTCTATTAATTCTTTCCAGATCACAGTTTATGATGAAGGATATTTAGGCCTTCTCCATTAGTGCCATTGTTTCACAGAACTTTTTGCCTACAGAACTTCACAAATAACCTTGAAACATTCGACTTCGTAAAAGAGTATCTCACATTTTTCCAAACATTTTAATTGTTGTTATGAATAGCCACCTGAGGCATCTTTTAGAAATTAACATGCTGCCATACAAACACTCAAATTAATCCAGGTGTCTATATATTTGGTCAAGATAGGGCCCAAACATGCAGACTCCCATGAGAACTCGAACAAGATAGATAATGACAAAACAAACAACAACAAAAAAGCTGACATGGCAACAAATAAAATGAGGAACACGACAAACCTAAGGAGCCCAAAGCAGCTTGTCAGTGAAACAAACAAAATAATTAACTGAAGTGAAGATGGAAAGAATAAACAGGTAGGGAGTGATAAGGAGAATGGTGACCGCTCAGCTTAATGAGTCTGAAGAATAGGTGTGAGGTGAATGTCAAGAATTGGACATCAGGACTGACTGAGGGACAAAGACCCAATGACTGGAGGAGACAATGTCAAAAGATGAACAAAAGAAAACACAAAAAAACAGCAACGTCAAAAAAAATAAATTAAATCCATATATCAGATAAGACAAAGAATCCAGAATCATGAGATCAGAAACTCATTGTTTCCTGTAATGGTGCATGCTGCAAAATAAAAGTTTACATTTAGTCATCTTACCAGTTAACTCAGAGAAGGATGCGTACGGCTTCAGGTTGAATTTTTTCCTGTATTGATTGAAAGGCTGCAGCCGAGCAGATCTGCCCTCTGTGATTATCGTTTGTGCCACTCTAAGCACCAACTCATGGATGTTGCGACCTCCCCCAATCTAAAAGACAAAAAGTGCGTTACCAGAATGTTCTTTTGACGAAAAACAAAGAAAAGTATCTTTCCTTGTTGCTTGATGGGTGGAAACACCAAATGAACTTCTTTTGTTCTCTGCAAAGAGCAGAGCGATAACATCTCAAAAATTAAACTTACAGGAAGTATTTGTAAAAGGAAGTGAACTTTGATGTGGACAAGTTTGTTTAATAGACCTACAAATGTGATGTTTTTTTAGTTTTATGACTCTAGTTGATAAAAAATGGAGTGGACATGTATTGGACAGCTTTTATAAGCTTGTGGAAAAGTCACTTTTACTCTGGGAAAGAATTTAATCTTTAGAAGAAGCCTGGCTTCACTTAGCAGGTCAGCAACGAGTCTGCTAAATACAAGAGTCCTCCGCAGATGAGGAACGGCAAACACAACTTCCCCTGTGGTGTTTCCTGTCGTATATCTGGGTGTCTGTGTGGTGCATGTGAGTCTAATGAGCTGGTTGACTTATCAGCAACAATGCGTCAGTCCTGGCAAATTAAACAAACCAAAAGGATCACTCTAAAGGCAAAATGAGCTTGCATGAACTATGTGTTATTGTTAGGACCCAGTTATAAATGTATTACTCATTGGGGCATCTCACAGGCAGCCATTAGACAGTATGCTGCAACAATTCTGCAAGACTGAGAAGGAAACCTCTGAGACTTTTGGTGGTGAGATAGCACATGGCTATTTAAGATAAGATGTGCTCACATTTTAATTCTTGTGTCGCACGCTTTCACTTGGAAAAACAAAACCGTTCGGTCTAATCGTTTATAGAGACTTGGTCCAGCTGTGAAAATCATTAAATAAAAGCAAAATGCAAAGAAAAAGCAGAAATATTTTTTGTGAGATGAAAATTTGACAGTTCTGATTATTTGGCAATAAAAACATTGAACTGTTTGAACCAATCAGCAATCCAAAATTTCCTGATACAATCAGGTTGTCTAAAATGGCATCTTGCTTGTGTTCATATATATATTTACTTGTGTAAATGAATTTAAAGTTGGAGCCATACTTGATGAAAACATCCAATGATTTTTATTTTTTGGTGCGAACGTGTACATGTGTTTTAAAAGGTGTGCAACAAACGTTTATATTTCTTTTGTTGGTGGCATACTTAAAAAAATCAAATAAACATTTGCGTGCAAATGCTTTTTTCACACTATTACAGGCTGATATTTTATTACTTGTCCTGCAGGCTGCCGAGAGAAAGCATCCACCAGCTTCTCCACACCGTAATGCACAAGGACAGTGGTGTTGTATAAAAACTGGGAGTATGGGATTTCATCTCCGTCGATGAGAAAGCTGTCTGGCATCAGTGGGTGCCAGTGGTAGAGATGGCAGAACTCCAGGGCGATGCGATTAGTGTACTGGAAGCGCACGTTGAAGAGCAGGGAGGGGTCATACGTAAGCTTCAGGTTGTAACCGCTCAGGTGCTGCACATACTCTTCAATTATGATGTTGATTATCTCACCTGAGAACAAAAACTAATATCAGTTAAGGTGATAAACTTAAATAAAGACCAATGAAACACTGATAAGGATGAGACTTTTAAATCGAACATCACAGCAGTAGTGGCTGTTGTAGAATTTAGCATCAAGTGTTGCTTGCTCCCCTAAATGCTAAAGTTTTAAACAAAGAGCTTGCATGATGTAATAGAGCTCGGAATATGTGTTTGGGATGATGCTCAGCTACTACCACACCAACCTGTAGCACAATTGATATAAAACTGACTGAGTTAAAGCAATGTGTGTGACTGCTACGGACACTAATCTAAACACAAGCTGAGTGCTGCCTTGAAAGGCAGGTGGCCTGGTGCCATGTGTTCTTTTATCTGTATCATTCACAGAATGGATTTTATTGAATCCTTCAGGAAGCAATCATCCAATGTACCTTTATGACAAATTAATATTTAAATCCCTAATTAGTATGCACTGCAGTAGACAGGTGATAACTTAATGGGCAATGTAATGTATACAAACACTTCTTCAACAGAACAAACAACACAAAACCTCACAGCTCTGCAGTCTTTGTGGCCTTGTTTGAATCAGTTCATTCAGAGATCTTCAGTTACAGTAATCCTCTACAAGTAGCTACTGTGGGAATCTGTTTTTGCCCAGTAATGTCTTTTGTATGTCTTTTGCACTCCCTGGTGTTTTTCATCCCGGTTGTTCAGCTCCTGTCTCACCTGTCTCCAATTCTAATTACCCCAGATATTTGTCATTCACGTTATTAGTCTCCCCATAGATTCAGCGTCTCTGTGTTTTTCCTTTGTCTGTGGATTGTGCTTCCAAGCCTGTCACATTCTGTTCCTCCATCATCTCCCTCCTCCATGTAAGTTTTGATGGCCTGACAGCTTTTGCTTGTGTTTAAATATATATACTGTCAGGGGATTTTCGATCAAGGTTTATGGACAGTTTATCAGAATCAGAATGCTTTTATAATCCTTGCACAGTGAAGTACAACAAAATTACTTTCCGTACAGCTGTCCTAAAGCTGGACAGAATTGTACAGGGGGCTGTAGCTTCTAAGATGCACTGCCCTTATTGCTTAGATAAGAAAAAGGGAAGCGAACATAAGGATAGAGGTATTAAAAAAAGATCTCTCACACCATGTCCTTGACAGAGCACAGTTTGAGGCATCAGAAACATCTACCACAGCAAAGCAACATAAATAGACATAATACATATGCGTATGAAGGGGGTGGGGGGTCCCAGCACAGCTGCCAGGTGAGTGACGCAGCCCTTGGCACCTTCGCATTTCCTAAGTTGCTGCGCCAAGGGAGGCGAGGGAGGCCAGTGGAGGCATTGCGTTTGAGGGAAGGTCGTAGCACAGCACAGTCCAGAGCACCCATCCCCACCCAGCCATAGTCCCGATAAGAGGTGTTTGTTTATCAGCCAACTCGGTTGAGCTCTATCACAGGTCCAGGACCTTGGGGAAGGGAGGGAGACAGAGCGTCTTTGTTTCTATAACATCCAAGGAGAAATTTGAGATAGTCCGCCTTCCAAGGCCAGGTCCAGATTCAGATAAGTCAGAAGGTGTGCAAAAAAGGGCTCTGAAAAAGGTTCCGCAAAGAGCAAAGCAGGGATAGAACATCATCACTACTAATGTTAACTTTGAGTTGCCAGAGAGTTCTTTTCTCTGCCAGAGAAGAGCTGATTTGATCCTGCACGTGCAGCTGGATGAGGTTGAGATCATCAGGGCCTGTCTCTGTCTGTGACAGCTGATAAGCTTATATTTAAAAATAATTCTCGCACACTGCCCGGTGCAGATTCTCATGTCTGTGGGAACCAGTGAGTGAAAGTCTGCCCTTGCAAGTAAAACCGATTAAAATATCTTCTCATGTCCTCGAGTGTGGCTTCTTTGAGTAAGTAAGATGGAAAGAGGATATTTTTATACAACATACACTTTTTATTTCTGCCTGGGAGTCTCTTGTGTCTGCCTGCACGTGGGTTCTAAACCTTGAGATCATGATAGCTACAAATCTGCAGCTCATCTAAACTTTTCACCGGAGTCAAAGCAGAAAGTCCTGTTTTGATGTTTAGGTAAACACCATTATTATATCTGTATTTTTTGTTAATTATGCACACTGTAAGCGCTGTTACATTTATTAGGTAAGTTTATTTATGGTAGTAAAATGATGAAGTTTCACTCATGATGCATGGCGAGCAGCAGAAGTGTAATCTATGTGGATCAATCTTTTAGCTAGTAGTCTGATACATTTGGCTTTTAGCTCGTTTAGTATTCTACTTTTAGCTTTAAGTCAGTTTCAGCTTCTTTAGCCAGGCCGTATTGCATTCAGTTTTCATGCTGCTTTTCCACAGAAAATGTATTTTCTTTTGCATCAGTATTTAGTTGTTCTTTTTAAATCTAACACCTGCTAAAGAATGAAAATTCTCCTTTTTTGGGGGGAAAAAAGTCACATTTATTGTGAATAATGCGTATTCTCCTGATCAAAAATAAATAAACAACCATGGCTCATGATAAAGTACCTTTCGGATTTAATTTAAGTTGGAACCTGATCCACAAAACTGCATTTAAATTGAGCCACAGAAGGCATGAAATGTGTTTCATATAAGAAAGCTGAATTCATTTCTTGGTCTTGAAATTTTAATGAAGCCCTATCAGCAGGGATAAGGAAACCAAAGTGAAAAGTTTGTTGTGAAAAACTGCTGACTCACCAATAATGATGAGTCTGGTGGTTTGGAAAAGCTGTTCGTCATCCCATGTGGGATGTTCAGCCTTCAGGACGTCACAGACTCTGTTATGCTCCCTCAGCCAGATGGTGGCGTACATGCTGAGGCCCGGCAGGAGGCCGAACATCTCCTGACCGATGGCCAGGCGTTGTTCAGCAGGGAGATCTTCAGGGTACACCATGTGCACAGGGACCTCTGACACTTTAGGAGGGTACATCTCACCACTTATCAACTGTGGAAGGTCCGTTACAAAAACATAGTATTGTTTGTAAGCCATTGCATATTAATTATATTCACAACTAACAAGTTCTTTCATGAGTTGGCTTTTCTGTGCTTTGGTCAAAACCTCAAAAGTCACAAAGTTCTCATGCACTGTATCAGTAAAACAACATCTGTGGAGAATGTGGCTTTTAGTAAAAGACGCTAATCTCCAATTAAAATCAGTCCGATAAAGCGTCTTCAGTTCCCAGCAAAGCACAAACTGGCTGACAGATATTTCTTTTTTAACCACCATTAGTGTTATCTTAAAAAACATTTGACGTTTTAAAACATTTACAGGAAGTCACACCCGTGACAGATCATATGTTTAAGAAGTGGTAAACTCAGCTTTTCCAGCGTATAAAATTAATGTCAAACATTGAAAGAAATGTAGGACACATTAGTGTTTAAAACATGCAAAATGACAACATTTTAAATAATTATTTTTATATTTACAGTCAAAAGTCTGTTTTTTTTCTATCGTGATAAACTACATTTTACAAAAGAATATGCTTATATATATATATATATATATATATATAAATAATTATATATATATATATAAATAATTATACATAGATATATATAATTATATAGATATATATAATTATATATGTATATATATATATATATTAAAGAATATGCTTATTTATGAGCCTGATAGGAAAAAAAACAACGGTAAACTGAAGCTAAAATATTAAAAATGTCGTTGTGACATTGTCCAGTTGTTCACGATGTTTAATTATAAAAACTATGATAATTTTTTTCTATATTATTAGATGATCAATACCTTTAATAATAATATGAATGCTATATCAGAATTAACACTAACATTTTCTTTATTATATATTTTGTGCTTTAAAAAAAATTGAAGCTAAACTTCTGCATTCAATGGATTTTTGCTGATACTTTTTGTTTTTTTTGTAAGTTTTATAATTTTCAAAAATATTTAGGCTAACTTTTATTTCCATATATTTTCTGTACATTATTTCTTTTATTCCTTGAAAATTATTCTTCTCTTTGAAATCTGCTTCAGCAAAACTTTCTCAATTTTTGTCCGTTTATTCCACTTTTTCATTTTTAGCTACCATTTTACTACTTTACCTTTTACCTAATGTGTTGCCTCTTTGGCTAGCTTTTTGCTACTTTTGCATGTAGCTAATCATTTGCTGCTTTGAGTTAGCATTTAGCTACATTTAGCTTATCGCTACCAAGATGCTACATTTAACTTTCAGCCAGCTTTTACTACTTTTAGCTATCTTTTCACTACATTTGAATTTTAGCTAGGCTTGTAAACAATTTGTTTTAGGTAGTGTGTTGCTACTTTCTACATTTAGCTTTTAGCTAGCCTTTTGCTATAATTAGCACTTGGCGTTTTGATGCTTTTAGTGAGCCTTTTGCCACTAAAATTTTAGAATGTTGCCTCTTTTAGCATTTAATTTGTGTTATGCTTCATGAAGCTTTCAGTGTTTTGCTCCCTCTAGCTTTTAGCTAGTCTTTTTTTACCTGATATTTTAGCTTCCCATCTTCATGAAGCCGAAGCTGATGCTGCCGTTTAAGGTCTTCTCCATAGATGTTGCTTGCATCTACCTAAATAAGACAAAATACAAAAATCCAACACATTCATTTTACACTTTCTGTGTAAAATGCTTCAGCTTTTGAATGCACGTCAGTGTCTCACCCCATGCCCCAATGCTTTGGTGAAGCCTCCTTTACTTTTGTGACTTGTCTTGAAGAACTGATGGGTGAAGTGTTGGGCCATGAAGGCAAACATCAAATTGGTGCCCTGAGGATCTGGCCTAAATTTCTGCCTTTTTAAAAATCTTTCAGTCAACATTATGACGTCAGGAAGAACAAGTTTACCTGCAGAGGAAGGAACATTTGTAGCTCTGTGCAGGACCAGTGTAGGATCTGTGCTCAGTCGTGGTCTCACCTTTAGTCCCCATTGGGAGAGGACAGTCTTCAGGTACAGGAGGAAGGAGTCGGGTGTAGTAGGAGGTGTTCTGGTAGGATTCCCAGCTGAGGTACCCGTATTTGGTATTGTAGGTTGGAGGAGTTGGAACAAGTTCATTTCTCACTGTGATATAAGTACACATGACTTTTATGTTATTTGCTGAAACTTGCTTTAAATGTTCCTTTAAAATATCTGCTGAAAGATCAGGGAGCACCAAAGTTGAGCCATGAAACAAACAAAAAAATCCACTGTTCCGGTTGTAAAATATTAGTGGTGCTGGAGTAAGCTATTTGTTGGGGAATTTTTGGTCAATGTTTATGGCTGTTTTAATCTACTATGGCTGAGAATGTTAACTCTGCCCATGAACCATATGTTTGGATTAGCAAAGAGAGCTGGATGAGGAGCAGGGTGAAGCTGCAGCGAGCAACTGTCGCTCCAAGGTCGCCTCCGAGTCTTTGAGCTCGGCTGAACTGATAAGGTACACAAACAAGCTTCGCACACTGCCCGTGGTAGATTCTTGTGACCGGGCTTAATGCAAGTACTTCCTGTATATCTGTGTAACCTGCCCTGAAAACCTGTCATTGCAAGTAAAAGACAGTTAAAAATCTTCTCGTTGTCGAGTGTGGCTCCTTTAGAGTAAGTGGGATAAAACTAGAATATTTTTCTCCAACACTATCAATAATCCATATCAAACAAATCCAAAGTGCTTGAATACACTGGGCTCTTTGTTTCACTTCTCATCTGAAAGATTTTTTTTCAGTTCTGATTCTAAACTGGCAGATTAAAAAGTCCTCAAGAAAAACTAATCCAGTTCTACTCACGAACGTTGTTTCATACGAGGAGTCCATTTCTAGTCTCAGTAAATGAGGATAATAAGCATAACTCCATCTAAGGCGCAATATATACCTGTATGGGCTGATCAAACAGCACAACTATCAGCTAGAAAATTAGAGTCACTAAACAACATTATTTATTTATTATAAAAGAAAATGAAGTAAATAAAATAAGCTGTATTTCTTAGTAAGCAGATAACTCAACCTGCCTATAAAACATTTCTGAGTTGCTTTAACCTATAGACCCATTAATAAGCTCTGGTCTGTGAATGTGACGATGTCTTCAGCTGATGGAGCCAAGAAATTCCACTTTTATCAGAGGATGTGATATAATTAACACTAAATCAGAAATAGAAGGAAATTGCTAAATTTGTTGGAAAAACTGCGCTTTCGTTCAAAATTTGAAATGTGATAATAACCAAATACAAATGTAACAACTTTTAATTTATTTTCCAAAATTAATAACTGGCTTGTTTATATTAGAATATTGTTGGGATGTTAGCAGATTTTTGCCAATTCTTGATATTGATTGATATTAGTATAAAACATCACAGCAGATTTAACAAGACTTCATCTTAGCATTAAAGCTCAGCTTCTGCATGAATTTTACACAAGGAAACTTTAAATATATTTTAGCAACGACTTATTCAATGCTACTTTTTAAACTTCAGATTTCTTTTGAAATTTCAGTGTTATATAGATCAGATTTCTGTACTTCTACCATTGTAATACATATTTCATAGATCGTAATTACAAAAGCAAGTCCTGCTTTCTTAAAATAAAACACCAAAATAAGAAAATAGCACTAGTAGATCAAAGTAAATGATGGGAAAATTAACTGTTTCTGCTCTGGTCTGTAGATCTGCTGATAAAGTGATTAGTCCAATTTACCAGTCAGGACTATTCTCATGATGGTGCCTCGCAGGAAAGTCTTGTTAACCAGGTCCCAGAACCACTTGAAATGGGTCAGGATGAAGTGGACCACAGTGGGGCTCGGCTTCAGCATCAGATAAATTCTGGTCCAGAATTCGGCTGCGTAGCAAAATCACAACAAAGTGTGACATTTCATTTGTACAAAACATGCTCAGATATAAATCATCGCATCAACCATTTGTTAATATTACTTCAATAAATGCAATATTTATTTTAGAATAAACCATTTTTTGTGTGTGTGTTAGGTGAACCAAGATGATTTATCATTTTCTTACGATTGGTGCAGTTTTGTCCATTGAAGCCGGTGCGAGTGCAGTCACATTTATAATCTTCTGGTCCGAATCGCACACACACTCCTGAGTTCTCACAGGGGTAGTAGCAACAAGGATTCACTGAAAATAATAGTTTAGTGGTAAATATTGTTAGAATTAAAGTTGCTTTATGATTAATTTCTAAAGGCTGAAATCATCCTTTAAACCAATAAACGATCCCAAATTATTTGAAACTCATAGTAAAACACAAAGAGGCACAAAAACACAAAAAGCATGAACATCAAATGATTTGAATGTCCAAAATAATTGAACATAAATGCAACATTAATTAATTAAACAAGCAAAACACATAAAATAAAATAAAATTCTGCAAAGTTGTAAATTCGTGAAAGTAGTCTTTTTATCATTATTATTATCATTATTATTATTATTATTATTAGGGTCAAATATTTGTAAAGCAGTGATAATCGCCAAGCTCTACAACTGCAACAGCAGCAAAAAACAACTTTTTTTTTCTGCAAATAGGCAAACTACTCTATATGGTATCTATGGCTAGATGGAACCAGTTTAAACTTTATTACCCATAAGGCTCAACAGGGAAATACTGGACCTCAATAAAAACTTTCCATTTATTGAGTTGAGGCAGGTTATTTAGGCTGATTCCTGCCACTCTGACGATGACCTGCAGGTTGTTCTGATTAGAAAAACCAACAACCCATGAACATGAAGGTCAGTCCTCCCAACTTTAAAGAACAAAGCTTGTGATCAAAAATCTATAGGTGCTAGTGGGCCTTTTGGAGAGCAAGTCAGTTTGGAGCTCAAAGTCAGTCCATCCTCCATGACAAGTATTTATATTTTTTTGTAATGTTACCCTGAAATCACATATTTTGTCTAAAATGCAATATAGTTTCTTAATTTCTGACATATTGTTGTCTAAATAGGAGTCTTTCACTCAGGACCATGATCAGAATTTACATTATTATGCAAATAAGCAATAACCAAAGTGTCTGCAAACTTTACAATAAAACAATCTGGATATATTGGGGAAGCATTAACGTAAATAATAAATGAAAGGAGCGAGAGAACATGAGATGAGCCAGAAGAGGATAAAAGAATCTCGTTCACGTCACACGCTGCACCAGACTGATCCAGAAATCTGTCACCCAACAAGTCAGACCAGGATTAACGTGCAACCGTTGCATTCCCTCTGCTAAAACTGGATACAACTAAAGGTCAAAGAGAAATCAACAAAAACAAGACGAGCACAAGAGTTTGCAGTGTCAGGATGAGAAAAAAAGTCATATTAACGTGCAAAGTGCATTGTCACCACCTCCACCTGTTGAGCAGCCTTTAAATGCACTTTCACAGTTTTTACAAACGATTTCAGAGCCATAAAGGTCAGTGTTATAGGTCTGTTAAATGTAGGTGTCTGTGGAGTTTTATTTGTCAGTGCATGTATAGCACTTTTCAAACCTTGTGAAGATATATCGACAGTATGAAAATTAAACTAAATTTTAGCTATGCAGCATATAACATCTAAATTGATGCATAAATCAAAAGATTTATAAACCAAGAGCACAAAAAAAAAACAACCCTAAAACCACAGAAAGGAGCGGTAAAGTATTTAGAAAGAGATGAAAAACCACATTAAGGATATCTGTTCCAACGAAGGAGAAACTCTTGATTTCTAAGAAAATGTCAAGTTGAACATCGTGAGGGTTTTTGCTGTATTGCAAAATATATTTATGCTTTACAGATTCATTTTATTTAGAGCAACATAAACTGTGGTTTCTATAAACATTTTATTCAAAATCAGACACTCAAACAATTACTCTTTGCCTAGAGTTGTTAAAGGTGTAGGACGCTATCAATTCCTTTATGCTGCTGTATTCATGCCAATCTGCTCATACAGGCTCATGTTCAGGCTGCTGTTTAATAAACTCTGTTAATTTGCATTATTAGTGTTTAGCATGTATCTTGGCTCCTTTGGCGCGTCCTTTGGCGTTCGTTTAGCGTGTATCTTGATGTGTGTCTTAGATCCTTGTACAGCACACTGTTTCTTCTTGTACTTTATATTTTTTGGGTTGAACTGGGATCTTGAGTACACAATTTCATTCCACCTCATGTACCACATGTGATGCGAATGACAATAAAGAACCTTGAAAGGCCCGTTCCGCCTCCGTCAGAGTTTCAGATTGACGACTCACAGATTTACTGAAAAAACATGTCGCATGATTTAGAATACAGACGCGTGTTTAAATAGATCTGTCTTTTCAAACTAAAACTGCCCTAACTGAGCTGCTGCTGTAACTCTTATACAATGTTATCATATTGTGTAACAAAACTTAAAGGACACCATGATGTGACTCTGGGTCCAGTGGGCAAAACCACCCAGATGAAGGAGCTTGCATTAAGTCTGAAGCTGCATGTCTAAATCAGGCGGTCCAACCACTTCCACATACAGTACCGTTAACATTTGTCGTATGATGACTTCCTGTCCCTCCTTCATACTTGCAGAAGTTCAGGGTGATAAAGTGACGTTGCGTCGTTATTTCCCTCCTTATTCGCTGCGTAGATAATGTCCATGCATAATCGACACACGTTTTCAAAAGAAGAAAGTGTCAAGTTGCACAATGAAATAAAATTTCACTGTTTTTTTTTTTTTTTTTTACTATATTTTTTTTAATGGTAGGAAGATATTCAGCAGACTTTCATTGCAACTTGTTTTAAAAGCAGCCACTCTCATATCTGAAAGAAGTTTGGCTGCATAAACATAAAGACGAGCTCAGTGTGTGCACTTCAAACTTTTGCATGCGGTGGATTGTGTGTGTGCTTTTTTTTTCTGTTTTTGCTGTACCAGTATCTAAATATGTCAAGAATCATTGAACAGCTTTTAATCAAACTTTCAGAATTTAATCACTGGCTGATTAACATTTGGAGTCAACTCAATTAAACACAGCTTAAACACATAAAATGGCTATAACTCAGTAAGCAAGATAAGAAAAGTAAGGTTGCAGGTTTAACTCCCGGCTCGAGACCTTTCTGTGTGGAGTTTGTAAGTTCCAAGAAAATCTTGTGGTGAACTCTGTTTGTCTGTTAGCAAAATATCTCACGAACTACTGGACAGACTTTAACAAAACCTTCAGAAAGTATTCGTTGGATGTACTTGTATAAACATTTAACTTGTGGAGTCAATCCAGTTCAAGATGGCTGCCACAGCCAATTAGCCTCATCAGGTTTACAGATACTGAGTTAACATTTGACGTGGTAGTAGCTGAGCATCATACTCAACACATTCTCTAGTGTGACGTCACACAGTAAGTTTATTATTTTAGTGATGGTATTTCCAATGTTTGACCTAAACAACTATGAAAGACAAACAGATGATATGGATTATTTCAAGGAATGCTAGTGATTTATTGTATTCTCTATATTTATGAACAATAACAAGAAAAGCTTTAAAAAAGCAGACTTTAAGTCTCATATAATGAGATATAATGAAGAAAGGCGAGAATATGATGAAACTCAGTCTGTTTCAGTTCAACAAGTGACACGATGGACATTTTATTCTTTAAGTTACATCAGGCCAAAGATCCACATGGTTCACATAATAAAGTGATACATCAGAAAACTGGATTACTACAGTACTGTACTTTGTAAATCACACATGATTCAGCCATGAAATGCCAAAGAAAAAAAAAATCACATTAATTAAAAAAGATAATAAACATAATTCCTTACCAGCAGATGAAGAGCTCCTCAGCAGCATCAGAAGCACCCAGATGAAGCTCACCTCTGTTGAAATACCAGAACGTTAATAACTGGATTATTATCAGCATAAGCTTATATAGCTTGAGGACTTACCTTTCATGGTTATTCACAGTGAATTAAATTAGTTGTCACAGTGTTGTTGTGAGAAGCAGGGCTGCTTTCTCCATCTCAGCGGCTTTATATGGTGTCGACAATGGGCGGTCACAGTTTCCTCCACTTCCTCCTTTTTAATGCATTAAAGAAAAACTCCTGCAGTTTCAACGTGTTTAATAATCTCAACCAGACGTGCAACAGTTCTCCCATAAGAAGTGTTTAGTTTGCAAGTTAACCTGGCAAAACCTTTCTTATAACTGTGAATTATTTGTTCATCAGATCATGCAAAGGAGCCAGAAGCTGTGGGAGAATCTCAAAGTGTTTGATCTCCACCTGCTGGAAGATTGCTCCAACTGGTCCTGTGCTGAGCTCTGAAAGTAAAGATGGTGGGACTGAAAGTGTTTTCCTTTGCAAGGCAAATAATATCTGCTTTAAAAATGCTCACTTAAACATCAGAATCTATGAAAGTTGGAACTCCACCGATCGTTTTACACACAAGACAGCCAACATAAACATGAACATTTTAATTTGTGTAATTTTTAGTAATGATTTGCTTTTTGGCACAAGTAAAAAAAATATGCTAAAATGGTTTAAAAGACTGTAAAAGAATCATGTGGGTCCAGGAAATGTTGTTTTCTGTTTTTGAAAAGACAGAAAATCATGAAATCAATCAAAGTTTGTTTTTATAGATCATTTTTTAGAAACCCACGCATGCACGGAGAGAACATGCAAATTAACTCCACACAGAAAGGCCGCCGCCCGGATTTGATCCGTTGACCTTCTCAATGAGAGGCAACAGCTCTGCCAACTGTGCCACCGTGCCGTCCACACAGTCGAATCAATAATAATCAATATAAAATTAAAATGTTCTGTTTAACTAGAACTAAATCAGGAAGGGTGGTTTTCATCAGAGATTTAAAGAATTAAAAAGAGTGTCTGAGAGACTGAGCAAATCGTCTTAGAATTTTATTAAAACAACTAAAACAAGTTAAACATCATCTTTTCTTTGTTTAAACTCTTGGAAAAATAATTGTAAATTTCAAATGTTTCACATCGATTTTGATTACCTAAAATGTGACCAAGTTTAAGAACGTTTACATTTTTTATGACTTCAAATAGATGTGAAAATTGACTCAAACAAACCATTAATGTTCCTCAGTGGTTGAATTGGTCAACCATTTTTTACGGAAAAATAGAGCGGCTTCTCCCTCCTTAGGTGGCATTAATTTGGCCTCCTGCTCTAATGTTGAAAATCTTGGTGTTATTTTTGATCAGGGCATGTCTTTTATCCCCCACATTTAAAAACATTACTAGAACCGACTTCTTCCATCTGCGTAATATCACTAAAATTAGAAACATCTTATCTAAAAATGATGCAGAAAAACTGGTCCATGCATTTGTCACGTTTAGACTGGACTATTGCAATGGTTTATTATCTGGATGTCCAAATACTTCTTTAAAAAGTCTTCAGTTGATCTAAAATGCTGCTGCCAGAGTCTTAACTGGAGTTAGTGGGAGAGATCATATTTTTCCAGTTTTAGCTTCTCTCCATTGGCTCCCTGTCAAATCCAGAATTGAATTGAAAATCTTACTTCTAACCTACAAAGCTCTCAACAACCTAGCTCCATCTTACAGTACAGATCTTATTGTTCCATATTTTACTAACAGAGCACTTCGCTCTCAGGCTGCAGGTTTACTTGTGGTTCCTAGAATTTACAAAATCAGAATGGGAGGCAGATATTTCAGTTATCAGGCTCCTCTCTTGTGGAACCAACTTCCAATCTCTGTCCGTAAGGCTGACACATCATCCAGTTTTAAAACTCGGCTTAAGACTTTCCTTTTTGTTAAATCCTATAGTTAGGGTCGGCTTGGGTTTCCTGAGCTGTCCCTTAGTTATGCTGCTATAGGCTTAGACTGCTGGAAGACAAACTGACCACACTTTTCACTCTGCTACTGTCTTTACTTACTCTGCTCAACCTGTTTTGTATTTGTAATTATTTTTTCTATCCTAACGTGTTTTTTTGTCTTTCAGATACACCTGGACCTATACCTGGACCTACCATTCTGTGTTTGTCTGTCTCTCCTTCCTGTCCTCTCAAACCAGCCGGTCAAAGCAGATGGCTGCTTGTCCTGAGCCTGGTTCTGCTGGAGGTTTCTTCCATTTAAAAAGGGAGTTTTTTCTTTCCACTGTTGCCACTGTGCTTGCTCAGGATGGGAGACTGCAACGAAGCCAAGATTCAACTTGTCTGCTGGATTCCTTAGATAGAGAAATTGACTAATTGGCCTTTATGTATGTGAATGTTCCTGTAAAGTGCCCTGAGACAACTTTGTTGTGATTTGGCGCTAAATAAATAAACTGAATTGAATTGAATTGAAACCCACTAGGAGGTACAGGAGGGGCAGTCTGACCGCTACATATGGGGATGATAACAACTAATAACAGTCATTTAATGGTTGATAACATTTGAAGCGGGTGGTTATGGTTGATTTGATCTGTTGTTCACTTAGAAAACGAACGACTTATGCAACTTTTGTCACTGAACTTGTGACATTTGTATTTAAAATTTAAGTAATAATTTTAATTGTTCAGTACAGCAGGTAAACTATTATTTTATGTATTAATGTATGTATGTATGTATGTATTTATTTACTTGTTTGTTTATAGAAAAGAGCTATATAAGTTCCAGACTTCTGAGATAAGACTGTGACAAATCAAGGATAAATGAATGATGTTTGGGTGTTTTCCTGCTGAGGCAGGATGCATTATTGAGTTTTGAAGCACATTTCAGTTTCAGCCCTTCTTTGCGCACCTTCTTGCTCTTCACTTGGAGTCAATTTCTGACGACGTGTGATTCTAGCCTTCTTGACATTTGCTAAGTAAAAACATCTTCCATGCAATGTTGCTGAAGAGCAGTTTGGTGTGCCATCCAACCCACGACTGCAGCTTCAAACGACTGACTGTATTTATTTGTGTTTCATTCTGTTTCTTAGACATGATTGATATGAAAAAGAAAGAGTCGCATCAGGAACTAATTATCGAATCATCATTTCCAGCCTCACAAGTGCCTCCACGGCTCCTTTTGGCACGGGCCTCGTGTGCTCGTTGCCATGGAGTTGTTGGTGCGAGCTGCTGGCCGAGGCCTGCTGCGTCCTATAGCATTCCTGGTAATTGAGATCAGATGCTCCTCTGAGTGGAACCTGGACTGAGAGTAACCTGGAAGCATTTATTTTATGGAGAAGATGTTTAGTTAAGCCGTGCTCCTTCTCTAAATGAGCCCGGGTTCGGCTCGGGTGATGAATATGATTGGTGAAAGCACTGAAGGCTGGTTCCTGACTTCTTCCTTCCCCTGGTTCAGGTTACAGATTAGCAGACTTCCTGTTGGTTTTTGTAGAGCAGTCCAATCAGACTGACAGAGCAACGATAGGAGCGCAGACATCGTGCACTATCTCAGATGGGGTTCCTGACAGAACCACACAGTGGTGACTCTTTAAACCTGTTAGAACCGGCAGGTGAGGGACGACAGACCTCCTCTGGACTCAGCTGATGGCCAGAGACAAGAAGTGTCAATGGACTCAAAGCTGCATGAAACAATGGATTCAGTTACAGCAACAAGAAGTTCAAGTTGACCTGTCTCTGAAGCTCTTTTACGAAGGACTTTAGAGTCAAATGTGGATTAAACGACTAGTTTAGTCTTTCCCAGCAGGCTCCTAATAACCTACTTAAAAATAAGTCATATTTATTGAGGGTGACTATAATGAAACGTAAACTGTGCACAGACATGTGGCTTGATTGGGAGTAATGTGTTATGACTATTGGTAGTGGTATGTAGCATGGGCAGAAAAGGTGAAAAATCCATCCATCCATCTATCCATCCATCCATCCATCCATTATCGTTTATCCGCTTCTTCCTTTTCAGGTCACGGGGGTCACTGGTGCTCATATCCAGCAGTCACTGTGCGAGAGGTGGGGGACACCCTGAACAGGTCTCCAGTCCATCACAGGGCCACATGGAGACAAACAACCATTCACTCTCTCTCTCACACTTGGAGACAATTTAGAGTTACCAATCAGCCTAACATGCATGTTTTTGGTCTGTGGGAGGAAACCGGAGTACCTGGAGAAAACCCACACATGCACAGAGAGAACATGCAAACTCCACCCAGAAAGTCTTGATGCTCAACCCAGAAAAGGCCACTGACCCAGATTTGATCCGGCAACATCCTTCTTGCTGAGAGGCAACAGCAGCTGATCCACCGTGCAGCACAAGGCCGAAAATCACAAGAAGAAAAAAAGCAGATAATGCAGATTGGGGAAAGTGCTTGATAAAACCCAGTTCTCTTTGAAGGTCTATAACTCAAACATATGTCACATTAGAAACATAATTCAAAGTTTGTGTGGGTCTCAGAAAGTTGGACTTTATATTTCTGAACTTTCATTTTGATTGCTTCTGCATTTGGTACACAATTACAGTAAAAAAAAAATTATACTGTTACAGTTTTTTTTTTTTTTACCCTTTCAGTCCAGTGCATCTTGATTTTAATCTTATTTGAATCATATTTAAAGTTGTTCAGCCACTACTTCTTGGTTTGAAGGAGTATTTTCAATTCATTTCAATTCAGTTTATTTATATAGCATCAAATCACAACCAAGTTGTCTCAGGGCACTTGACAGGAACATTCACATACATAGAAAAGCTTCAAATGGAGAGTGCAGTTTATTTTACCACTCATGTATTTGAGTTAATTTGTCTTCTGTTTTCCGGTGTGATCCATTTTTTCCTCGTGAAGGACTTGTTTTATGAACTTGCTTCTATTTATGCTCTTGTTGTATTTTTTATGAAGGATGATTTTTAGTAGTTTATACTTTTCAGACAAAACAGGAGCAAACTGCTGCACTCTGAAATCACATCAGGGTGAGTGTGTGTTCGCCATGCCCGTGTATTTCTGGTCTGCAGCCGATACGATGTGTATCTCAACACTCTGCAGCAGGAAACAGTAAAACCGTGCTACAGTAACACTTTGCTAGACTTTATTCTTAAATTTATGAGCTGAACAAACAG